GACCACCTTGATAAATAGCACGTGCGGTCTCATCATGGATCAATGTTGCAAAACTTGAATTTGTAACTAATAATTTTAATGGTAAATCTGAAGTAATGTTGCTATTATTTATTTGCAGGCTAATAGAATTATTTATCAATAGTATTGATTGTGGCGATACTGACGTCGAAATTGATAAATTATTGGCGTTGTGTGATATACTTGACTTAGTAACTGGATGTTCAAAACTTGTATTTTTTTGTAATAACATAAATGATAATTCCACAGTGACATTATCAAATTGTAATTCGTGATTAGATGAGAAATTACCTAAAATATTTTTAAATATTTTATACTTCGATTTTAAATTCAAAAAAACATAATAAAAGTATATAATACTTACTTGGATTTACAAATTCAATGAAATTATTGTACGAATCCACAGTAGTACGATAGTACATGTAAATACTGAGAATTACGAAACCAAGTATGATGATTCTCACACTACGATTACGGAGATAAAAAAACATTTTTTTAATCTATAATTATGGCATAATTATAAATCAAAATTGAAAGGAAATTATATTTTTCGTTCATATACTATATTTAATACTTTTAAATAGGCACTTGAAAGTATTAAATATTTATAAATAACAGATTGACAATTATTTTTTAAGTACAGCGGATATGTTCCTTCCATAATTTCACGAAATATTGTCAAAGTTTCTTTTGTCCTTGAATGATTGCAAAAAATAACCCATCCAATAAAACCTGTTTATCGTGAACATGTTTTGGAATAATACAAAACAGTACACGAAAATTAAATTTTAAAAATCACACAATTTTTCCTGATTCGTAAGGTGATAAAATTAATAACTACACAACACATATTTAATTCGATTTTAATTTGTTTTAAAGGTGAATATATCATGTAAGCCACATTTAAAGTCACAATTATTACTTTTTTAGAGGTTAAATATAACCTTTTAAGTGTGAGAATTCGTCCGACAGGGCATGGACGACTCATTCAACATTCAACATTATACTCTGACTGTCCATAAGCTAAGACAAGCTTTATGTGTATTGGTGTGTATTTGTCTGTGTACGCGTGTGTACTTTTATTTTGATTTTCTCAACTATTTTTATGACAACCTTTTCTCGTGGCCGTGGGGTGTCTCTTTAGCCAGATTGTAGTATGAGGTAAAATAAATAGAATTGTATTATCTGATTATATCATAGATGTCGCGTTGTTGGTGCGTTACGCGGCAATTCGCTATACTTTAATTAATAACAAATTATAATGAAAATTAATCTAGCACATATTTAATAATTTTAAGAATTTTATAACAAATAAATTATCGCAAGAAAAAATTATAAAAAAAAATTGACATGTAGAAATTTAAAAAAATTAAAAATGCATTTTTTTTTAAAGAATTTTTTGGAACAAATTTTTTTATTAAATAAAATTAAAAAATTGTAAAGTGACAGCTAACTTTAATGTCATCAAATTTATAACGGGTAATTTCGTACTCGTGCGTTAGCGAGGACGAAGCCCGAAATAAATAACCTGGCCTACCTGCTTTACCTGTTGTTGGGCGCCAGGAGCTTTGCTCCAATCACGTCGATGTCCGGCTAATCCGGTCCGGGACTCCTTCCGTCGGGTGGCGGGCCTTAAGGGTACGACTTAATTATAGAGGAACGAGGAAGTAATCGGGACTACTCGTATTAACTCGCAATTAATTAAAAAAAAGATAAACTCTTAATTTATTAACAATAACTTCAATTAGTGTTCAATAGTAACAAAATAAAAGAATTAAACGCAAAAATAATAGTCGTCGACGATCTCGTCGATACGCCGTCGATACGCAGTTTCGCAAGACAACAACTTCAAACTTTTTCCAAAAAAAAATACTTCGGTTAATTTCAATCAACACTCTCAAAAACAAATAAACGTCGCTCACTCAGTTAATCTAATCAATTAACGACAGCAACAAATTAAATCTCCCCGCAATTCACTCAATCGCAGTTAATTAACTAAATAACAAAAAAAATTAAATCTTCGCTTAATTTAATTGCAATTCATTAATCAATTAATACTAATAATAATAATAAAATATCGTCTTCGAAATTCAATTAATCACAATTAATTGAAAATAGTTAAATATAAATCGTCGTCCCAGTCAGTTGTTGTTAATTAACCAAAAAAAATTTTACTTGTTTATCAATTGTCGCTAAATTCAGTTAATTACAGTTAATTAACAATTAGACAAACTAATTAAACACTACTCGTCGCTCGCAATTGTTTAAGAGTAAGTCGTCGTTCAATTCAGCTAATTTTTGTGAATTAACAAAAAAAAATTATCTACTAATAGATCGTCGCTCAATTCAATCGTTCAGTTAATTAACAAAAAAATTTTTTTTTTTGTTTAAAATTTCGCTCGATTGAAATTAATAGCAGTCAAATAACTAATTAATCATAGTTAATTTTTAATTTAACTTTTCAAATCTTCGCCGAATTTAATTTAATAATAATAATAATAATAAAAAATTCATTCGCCGCAGTTAATTAATAATTAAATTATATAATAAGTTATTACACTCGCCGGCTTTAATTTATTATAAAATTACTTAACAATTAATCTAATTAAACTAACTTCTGTTTATTCGCCGGATTTAACTAATAAATAAGTAATTGATCCGCACGAATCCGAAGCTCGATCAATGGATAATCAACCTTGTCGATTATCCCGGGAGTAAACGTCGAAATTACAAAAAATGATAATAACAATATTAATTTTAAATTTCATACATTAGTACACCAAAAAAAATAACAACAATGGCGGTACCGAAATACCTCGTGGGATTATAATTTTACTGGTTGACTTAATGCAACCTTGACATTCCTTGGCGATGTGTCACACCAAGCAGCAAGAGTTTAATTACGAATAATTGATAAAAAAACAAAAAAAATTTCTTTAAAAAAAATAAATTCCACGAGCTATTTATCTAAGAAAAACCGTGGCACTCACCCTGGTCTAAGACGTAAATCTACGTTGTCCGTCGATTGGCCACACCAGGTCGCACTCGGCTTCCACGTCGAACGATCTCGTACAATGAGCTTCCTCGGCGAGGGTACGTGCTGATTTTTCGTCACTTGCACACGTCAATTAACGATCATCCAAATACAACGCCGTAATAGATCACGCTTCTATTAAATAAGTAATTGGCGACAGCCAATTATCGTCGTAATGCCGTAATAAATTTTTGGCAAACACAATCGCAATTAAACACAATAATCAACATATAGCACACTACGTCGTGGCTAATTAAAAGAAATACTCAGATTTTTAAAAAAAACAATAAATTACAAAAATACTCTTTGTAATAAATCTCAAAAATCAGGCAATCAAAGAAGTAACCAAAGTCAGAACAGAAAATTACATCCGTACGCGGCAAGTGGAAAACGTGGAACGTGGAAGCAGGAAAAAATAAGCACATGTCGCATTCCTCGTCTCTCCCCTCTTTGCTGGGTCCGTCGTTAGCTTTGAACTCCAGAGATGGCGCCGCAAGTCCAATTTCCCAATATCGACGTTTGAATGATTTACTGGCTGGAGCATTGGCGCGTTCGACAGCCAGTTTTTCACCTTCACGCATGCGTCGATTGCTCACTTCGAGTTCTAGTAAGTCCGTCGTTCCAGCTCGTTCTCGAGACAGCCATCCGCCCGTCGATGATCTTGCAGATAATCCACGTCGATACTCCTCGTTGGTCTCTCTTCGCGGGTTCGTGACCGGTCATACGTACCATTCTTACAATTACTATTACTTAAAACTAACTTATTTGCTAATTTAAATTCTTAATCGCAATACATTTTTGTTTTCGCGCGCAATCGAGCTTCGGTCGGATTATCTCGCGAGAGGGCGACTCGGTCGCGGCGAATCCAACCAATGGACAACAAAATAAATTCGAGAGAATTTAAATTTCTTCTTAAATTAAATTCAAAATTAAACAAAAATAAAATTATCATCAAAAAAAAAAAACGTCTTAACAGGTGGCGCTAAGAGCGGCCTGTTACAGCATTCTAAAATTTCTAAACTGTCTTGAATTTTTTAAAACATTCCAAAATTAAAAAAAAAAATTATTTTAATATTCAAAATTGCCAAATTTTTTGAATAATTAAAAAAATTACAAATTTTAATCGTACTTAGTTTTGTATAAATTTTTTTTGATAAAAAAAATTGAAAGTTTTAGATAGTAAAAATAAATTAAAATAAAAAAGAATCATGAATAGAAAAAATGAGCTAATTTAGAAAACTACTAGCTCTGATCATTAGAGTAATAAAAAAAAACATAAATGGTAATGAAAATCATAACAATAAAGTTCACTGTGCCAGTATGCCGGATCACCATGACACTGACAGCTGCTGATTACATACAAACATGTTACTCTTTATTCCAGACAGTGATTACTGCCTACTTACACGCTTCAAACAATAATTCTAAATAACAAATTATAAATTATAAATAGGTACATAATACGAGCATGCATAAAAATCAACAAAATTTTCCAGTCATATTCATTAGAATGTAAAAAATAAATAAATAGATAGATATAGGAGCTACTTACTGTTAAACCCGAGCAAGAAGGCATCGCCCCAATAAAAAGACTAGACAGTTAATCTGAGCTGTCTAAGACAATCAAATTAAATGTTAACTTTGATTTTAATTTATTCATGTTTTTTTATCATTGTCAGGATAATTTAGCGATATATCCAGTTTGGTCGAATGTAGTTGTGTAGCTCGAGTAGTTTTAGCAAAAAGAAAAGAAAACTGACTAGAAGTGAGAGCGAGCTACGGGATATAAAGAGTATCGTGATGTACAGCTATTCTCAGTTGTATATTCCAAGCGACAAGTGAACTAGTGATGTTATTGACGTGTTACTCGTTATAGTATGTTTACTCGGTCCACTTCTGTTTAATATTTAATATAATATTCATAGTAATAAATGTGCATATTACAGTGATGATATCTATTTGGAATTCACAGCTGTTATTGTTAATTATTTTTTTGTTTACAACCACATCTCATGCTATTTTTTTTAATTAGTACGTTCAAATATCAGAATTTTTAATTTTTATTAAAATACACTTACTTGATTGATAATTTATTTATATTCTAGTCCTAAAAATGTATTGATGGATTTTTTCGAGACATTACGGGAAAAGAAGGAGTTAAAAAAAGAATTACCGTCAGACATTCATCATTATCATATTCATTACTATCCTGTTTACATGCATTCGCCGAAAGCTGTTAAAGCGCCTGATAAAAGTGAATTGGAAATTTTACACACGTATGTTTATTTAGTTTTTTTTTTTTATTTTTTCTTTTTTATAAAGACGCTGAGAATTATGTTTTTTTTAAATTTAAATTTCAAGAAATAAATTGGAACAACTTGGATGGAGTAACCAAGAATACAAAAATGTTCCTGAACCGAAGCTTCATCATCTTTTGGGCTTAGATGGTCTGACATCTGGTCTGGGACATCGGCCTTGGTGGGATGAAAATACTGTAGGCAAGTACCAATAATTTACTGATTTATTTCAAACATAGATCGTGATTATTTTTTATTAAAATTAATTTTTAAATTATATTAAAAAAAAATCTAGTGAATTTAAGATTTTATGCTTTTACCTTTGATTATTTTTTTTATATAATTTATTTATTTATCTGTTGAATAATCAATATCGTAGATCGTCATGAAGAATCTAAAGGAATAGTTGTTCAAGTACCGTTGAACCAGCAAATAATTGTACAGCAGCCGAAAGAAGAAGAAAAAGTTAATCCTCTAGTAGCGTTCTTCCGAAAGTTGAAGAGCATAAAGAATTCAATTTTCAGCCACCACTTAGATAAAAAAGTAGAGGATGAGGAGGAACACAAGGATCATAAAATAAGCACTGTTTTTGTTTATACTCATCCCAGTAAACACGGACATTATCCATAAGGTACTATCACAAATTAATGTACATATAAAATTTTTAAAATTATCATTATTTATATTTATACATTCTTTATTATTATTGCTTATAAAAAAAAAAAAAAATAAATATTCAGCGTCTTTATTTCGTAGTACTAACGTCAGTCATTTTGTCTTCTACTTATGGGGCACAAAATGGATGACGAATTAAATGACCACCAAGGTGCGCATGAGCATAAGTAAATACTAAATAGTGATAGAACGACGCTCCTGTGGTTATTTAGACATTTTTTTTTATTGAAAAAAATTTATTTATTTATTAAGTTTTAAATTTTTATTTTCATTTTTTATCAAATCAAATAGATAACCCATTAATTGATAAATTGATGAGTCGGTTTTGACAAAAAATACTAAATTTATAAAAATAAAAATGTTAGTGTGCGACTGAATTTTGAAGTCAGGTACAAAAATTTTAAAATAATAAATATATTATTTAAAAGTAAAAATAATCCATTAGCTTTCAACAAATAGGAATATTTAAGGAGTTTAGAGTTGTTTAGTGGAAAAGATGTTTTTTGAGCTTAGTAAAATCGGATTTCCATGAAATCCTAAAAGGATAAGTATCCAGAGGGACACTCGTGGCAAACGCAAATGTCCACGGACAGAGCTTGGAAAAGTGGTTGAAAAAAAATAAAATGGAGTGTACGTATAGCAGTAATAGGATATACATATTTATATATATATATATATATATATATATATATATTTATATTTTATATTATAAGTATAAAAAGAGGACACGACATAAATATGGTACAAGCGGGGTTATTTAAGGAGCTATTACATTTTTATGGCTCAGATGACGCATGGTCCTAGCATCAGTGGCGTACCATGTCGTGGCATGAGTACATATTATATAGGTTAACGTGGTGCGGTATACCAGAAGCTATTCCCCAGAACGCCTTCATAAAAGCGCACGAAATATCTTTAGCACGATTTGCTTTGTCGTTTAAATCTTGATCCACTCTCATTCTTCTGTCTTTCTGCCTCTTATCTTACGAGTATTACATTTTGTTCATATTATTTATCATTTATTTTCCCCATTAAAATAAATTTTATTGTGCCACGAGGTACTTTTTTATTTGGCCTAAAGTTTTTTTTAAACATAGGCCCGATTATTTACTGCGACAATGTACTACACGTGGGAGTCTGATTTTTAGAGGGGCATAAATATCCAGGTGTCTGTTATATGCTCTTAGTAATGACAAGTGATGACACGTCTAAAACAGAATAGTACCTGTAGTGCAACAACAACAACAATTCACTTTTATTTTTTGGTTTCTGTTGTGTGGTGTGGTCGCTGTTTTGTCAAAGTTTACTCCCTCTTTTAAATATACACCCATGACCACAACGAGACGTCTCTCTTGACAATTTTGGTTGCAAACTGTTAAATCGGTCTAGCTTTTATTTTTGGCTGACCATTTCAATTCATATTCATGAAGTTTTTAATATGTTACATTTACTTTAAATTTAATTGTTCAAGTACATAAAATTTGTTTTTAATTAAAACCATATATTTTATTTCTTAAAGGTATTTTTTGTACTCTAGCTAGATTTATTTTAATTATTTACCAAACTAAAAAATTCAAAAACTATGTTAAAAATTATTAACAAAAATTATTAGGAAAAAATGTTTTTTACAACCCGCAATGTAATAGTACATTATGTAACTGAGTCAATCAAGCATTCGGCTACAGAAGTGTTGGTACAATGAGCGAAGGGTGTGCGCCCACCCACGAGTGTTAAGAGTTTCATCCCCTAAGTCCATGCAAAAAAAAAAGGTAATTAATTAACGTAGTCAACAAAATATTTTGCAAATATCGTGATAAAAAAACGAATGGTCATATTATATTATAGAAATAAGTGAATACAAGTACTTATTAATACAGAATATTTTTTTTTTTTCAACAAGAGTTATTAATATTAGTTTTATTCCCACATTATAACATGAAAATTCGTTATTTGATCACGATATTTTGAGAAATATTCTCAGAGTTTAACTGGCTTTTATAAATTTAAATTTGCTCTTTTATTTGTAATTTTTCGACGAGGACTTAAGTAAAGTCCAGAAGTTAGTAAGCTGGCAATTATAGTTGATATAGAATTCAAAATGAATGTCTGAATAAATCTCGACATTCGTACGAAAGATAGCTTATTACAAAAAGCATGTAAAAAATGAAAGCAAAAGTGGATATTGACATCAAACGGATCTATTATAAATTACAAAAAAAAAAAAATAACTTTCCAGAAGCTTTCACAGAGTAAATTAGAATTAATGAAATGAATTGAAAGCATCACTTCCGAACTACATACAAACGAACGAACAAAAACAGCAATAGCAATAACCAACGTCGGTTAAAACTTGTCCGTCACTTTGTCACTAGAATCCGTGTGTTTTCGTCGCGTATTATCTGTGGCTTGGACTTTAATTCTCGATTTTAGTAAATTCACCGTGCTCAGTGACGGAAACGCCGAGAGCGAGAGTGCAGAGTACCGTGTACGTATAGAGATAGAGACGCGTTAGAAAAATTTTATCCCGGTGTAGCTCAAGTGGTGTATAGTTACTCGTTACTCGTACCGGGGTTTGGTGATTTAACCATCACGATAAAACCTAAAGTGAGCCGAATAGAGACCGAAATTGAGAAAGAGAATATCGTCGCTGGTCGCTCGGTTTGTGCGAATAATTAAAAAGTAAGGGATGAAAGGGAATCAGAAGGACTAAAGCTGCGGACGAGAGATCGGCCTGCTCGCCCGATGAGCGAAAGAACTAAATCTAATTAATTTCTGGCCGTGTACACGCTGCCTACATAAAACTCGCCGATAAAGAGAGCAGAGTCTGCGATAGTTTGACATAAAAAGATAAAGAAAGCCAAAAATAATAAAAAAAGACGAGTCCAGGTGGACTTGGGCAGTAAATGTTGTTTTAGGCTTTTATATCTGCAGACATCGCATTGCGAGTTAAAATTTTTCAGTTGTAGAACGAGATAGTTAAATAAAAATAAATGAGACAAGGAGCGATATAAAGTTTTCCACCGGCGGCTTTACTTCCATCACACACTACGGAATAAAACGAATTTAATTTTTTGTTCAGCGCCGCACACTCCTCCGCTTACTCCCGCAATTAGAAACGAGCTTACGCTTGACGTACGAACACGCACGGAAATCAACGGTAGGTACTCTTCGCATTCGTTCTTTCATCCTCTCTTCCTTTCTACTCCTCCTTCCTGTCATTCCTGTTTCGACGTTTCCATTTCGCCGATAAAATAGAAGAGCCGGCCAGGAGGATCTGACAATAAAAAATCTAAATAGAAATAAAAGAAGTAGAGGGAAAAAATAAAAAAAAAGAAATAGTTGCAAGGATTTCAATTCTTTTACTCTGGGCATGTATATTTGACGATGCGAAAAGCTTGCGGCTGCAATTACGACTCGACGCTTTTTAACAATCAAACGTAATCATATATACGGAAATTTCATAATTTTTATTTTATTAATACTTTTATTTTCCTCCTCCGTTACAGCTTTTCATTGTTTAATTTTTAAATTACTGAATTAAAAAATTAGGCAAGCTCAATTCAATTTTCTGTGAGATAAAAAAAAATATTTCGGAAGTTTTCCATTACAATAAATACTTTATAATTTATATAATTTTTAATCCGCTAAAAATGAAACTAAGTAAAAATAAATTTTCTAGCGAGCTTTATTGAATTTATTTGATGCGCGCCGATAAAAAAAGATAAAATGTATGATAGCGGTCGGTATACTTGGAGTGCAGTTTGTCACAAGAAGACAGACGATACAATGTCCTTGTAGATCGAGGGCGGGAGGGGGGGGGGAGGAGAGGGACAATGAGGATGAGGATGAGGGTGGTTTCTCTCACCACCAACTTGGTAATCCACTTACCGTGACTCGATACCGGCGTCGTACTCTCTACAACTGTAAGATATATCTATAGATCGCATTAGGCCATTACTGTAAATTGTACCCAACTCCGGCTATCACTCGTGCTTTGATTAACATATTGCCTTGCACGGCAAAGGACCAAGTCCGTCTACTCTGCCGCTGTATACAATATACTCGACCATACCACGATTACTATTACTATTACTATTACTATTACTATTACTCTTACCATGACCACACTACTCAGTCCCACAGACATCACGTCATTTTAGACAAGTGGAAACCCGTGATTCAGTCAACAAGATGCCTGGATTACTATCTCTACATTCTAACTGATTGTTTCTGATACTACCACTGCAGGATTAGAGTCATAAGTAATTACTTGACTCGTCATTTTTGTTCATTTATTTTACCACAGTAAAAAATATAGACATGCATACACAATAGTTTTAAATAATAACAAATATAAATCATAATAGTAATGTAATTTTTTATTAATGTTTGACAAGTTATTTCTTATAAAAATATTAATTTTTAATAACAAAAAAACATGGAGTTGATAAAATATGATATTTTTTTAATTTTTAAATCTTTATTTCTTCTTAGAACTTAAAAAAAAATTTTTTTAATTCACTACATATTATTTTAGGCTAAATTTCAATCACAAATAATTTTTAAACTAGTCAACCGCACTGATAGAAGGATTTGATTATAGTAAATGATTTGTTAAATATTTTTAACTATAAACAAATCCTTTTATCAGTGCGTTTGTAAATTATTGATAGTAAGTTTTAACAGATACATCATTAGAGGTTTTTAATTCTAAATATAGATAAATTAGTAACACTTCTTGTAATTTTTTTTCATTCTTACTGAAGAAGACTTTTGTGTTGTTTAATCCCTCGCCATAAAAAGGATAGATAAAAATTATTTATTTTTCATATTTAAAACTAATTCAAAAAGCAATTCTCGGTAATGCGAAACAATAACTCACGATAAATAGCCCCGGTGCTATACTTTTGTCTAGCGATATTTTATTCAGTTCATAAAACGTGTTCCAATAACGT